GCGCAAACCCGCCCCCAGAGAAGCCCCGCCCCCGCGAAAGGCCCCACCCCTGGCCTCAACTGGCAAAGTCTGGCACCTGTCCCTTCTCAGGCCCCGCCTACGAAACGCCAATCACAGAGAAGGATCCACCCCCGTGTTGGAGCCCCCCCACAGACAGGATCTCACGCATGCGCCAACCCCGGAAGCCAGCTCCTCTTGGCCTGGCCTTGACTGAGGCCCCGCCCCGCGTTACAACTACCACATAAGCTCCTCCCACAGGCCTCCAACCAGGCTCCAGCCAATGGTGGTTGCTAGGCAACAGGAACGCGGTCCGGCCCGCCCGGCTGTCGGTCAGTACCCGCGCCTCCTTTCCGGGGCAGTGGCGCAGCACCTCCATCCGGGGCCGGGCCTGTAGGGGAAGTAGGTCCGGCTCCGCGGGTGCGGCCGGGGCGGGGCCTTCAATGTGTCCCTCCGCCGCGTGTCCCTCCGCGATCGGCGGTCAAGCTGTGGCGGCCAGAGACTGAGGGGAGGCGGGAGCTGGAAGTGCCGGGCGGACGTGAGGCGACCAGGTGGGTCCTGGCGGCTGAAATCGGGCGGCGGGAGCCGGTGCTGGGGGGGGCGAAGGCGGGCGGCGGGATCCCGGTCCTGGCGGCTGAAATCGGGCGGCGGGAGCCGGTGCTGGAGGGGCGAAGGCGGGCGGCGGGATCCCGGTCCTGGCGGCTGAAATCGGGCGGCGGGAGCCGGTGCTGGAGGGGCGAAGGCGGGCGGCGGGATCCCGGTCCTGGCGGCTGAAATCGGGCGGCGGGAGCCGGTGCTGGAGGGGCGAAGGCGGGCGGCGGGATCCCGGTCCTGGCGGCTGAAATCGGGCGGCGGGAGCCGGTGCTGGGGGGGCGAAGGCGGGCGGCGGGAGCCGGTGCTGGGGGGGCGAAGGCGGGCGGCGGGAGGCAGCGCGGCGGCGGCGGATCAAGCCGTAGTTGCCAGCCGCTCTCCTCCCGCTGGACCGACTGCCCCAGCGGCTTAGCGGCCGCCCCTGACCTGCGCTCTGGGGCTTGAATTTGTTCTAAGTGTCCACGGTCTTTATAAAAAGGCCTGGAAGCCGGTGCGGTGGCCACGCCTGTGGTCCCAGCCCCTGGACAGGCTGAAGGCAGAGGATCCCAAGTTCGTGTCCAGCCTCGGCAACTCAGTGAGACTGTCTCAAAATAAAGAGAGAAGCCGGGCGCGGTGGTGCACGCCGGAACCCCAGCGGCTCGGGAGGCTGAGGCCCGAGGATCGCAAGGTCAAAGCCAGCCTCAGCATCAGCGAGGCGCCGAGCAGCTCAGTGAGACTCTGTCTCTGAATAAAATACAAAACAGGGCAGGAGTGTGGCTCAGTGGTGGAGTGCCCAAGTTCAATCCCCAGGACCAAAAAGAAACAAATAATTTAAAAAATAAAAATAAGAAGGGAAAGAGTTCTGGGGGTGTGGCTCAGTGGTGGAACCTTGGCTCGATCCCAGCCAACACTCAAGGCTCAGTCTTTTTATGCCAGGTTGGGGACAGTGTCCTGGCCAGCTGTCACCGTCCTTCCTGGGGCATTTCTTAGTAGCCTCCTTTTACAGAAGAAACACTATTGAGGCCGCCCTGAAGTCCCGGCTGTCCCTCAGCGACAGCCAAGGACAGTCACTGTTGGCCTGTGAGATGAGAGCCGTCCCCTTCTGCTCCGGGGTCTCCCTGGAACGGAGCCCAGGGCACTGTACCACTGAGCTCATCCCCAGACCTTTTTGTTAACGTTACTTTGAAATGGTCTCACTGAGTGGCCTGGGCTGGCCTGGACCTCAGGATCCTCCAGCCTCGGCCTCCTGAGGAGCTGGGGCGACAGCCAGGGCCACTTGCCTGTTCACCGCCTTCCCCTTAGTGTGGGGGACGCAGAGGCGCCTTTGTGGGTCGTTTGGTGTTGTCCGAGTTCAGGAGGTGGCAGAGGGCAGGAGAGCCCTGGCCTGGGCAGAGGAGCAGCCATCAGAGGCCCAGGGAGAACTCTGGGGACAGGTTGTGACCCCCCGTCTGGACTTTGTTGTTAGAATCCACTCATCACGTTGTCTGAGTGGAAACAAAGCAGAAGTCCAGTATTTCCTGTCCCTGTCCCCTGCCCTGTGTCCCCTTTTTCCCAAGGGCTACATGGAGGGCGTATCCTCCTCAGGTGAGGCCTGTGGCATGGCCTTTTTATTTTATCTTATTTCATCTTTATTGATTCATCTATTTTTGATGCTGGGGGCTGGAGCCAGGGCGCTCCACACTGAGCCCGTCCCGTCTATATGCCCTCCCATTTTGAGCCAGGGCCCCTCGTGGTGGCTGCGTCTGACTCTGAACTTGCCGTCTTCCTGCCTCAGCCTGTGAGTCACTGGCCTCCGGGTGTGTGCCACCACCCAGCTAGCTACCACTTTGTTACTTCACTTTTCTTTCCTATTTTGGAGTGTGTGTGGTGCTGGGGGCTGAAGCAGAGACTAGCCCAGGCCAGGGGAGCTTCATTCGTTGTCCGTGGTTCATGGTCTTAAGCCGGGGCCTTTCAGTGCTGCTCAGGCTGGTCTCGAGTTCCTGGGCTCCGGGGAGCCCTTCCCTGCGCCCCTGGCAGCTAGGCCCACAGCACGTGTGCCGCTCCCCTGGGCGTTAAGTATGGCACAATTGAACATGAGGCACATAAAGATCCCATGGTCCCCTGTCCCCACAGATGCTCCCCGACATCCCACACTAGAGCGGTGCATTTGTCACAGCGGTGGTCGAGGGACTGCTGGTGTCACAGTGTCCTCAGGCAGCCTCCCTACCCAGCGTGGGGCACACTCCCAAGCACACTCCTGGGCAGTGCTGCAGCCTCTGCAGAGCCCTGGGGCCCCTCGCTGCCTGCAGCGCTGGGCTGCGCCCCTGGCCTGGCCCTCCCGGGCCCAGCTCTCCCCTTGGTGGTGTGCTGCTCTCGGGGCGCATGGGGAGCTCGGGCCCCTGCTTGGCCCCTGCCTGGCCCCTGCCCTGCTGACAGCAGCCCCAGGGGCAGTGTTACTCTCCTCTCTCAGGAGCAAAAGTGGCCTTGCAGTTCCTGAACGTGTGGACTGCCGCGGGCGCAGGCCTCCAATCCCAGCCACCACAGAGGCCGCGGAGGCTGCAGCAAAGGGACTGTGAGTTCAGAGCAGCCTCAGCACCTTAATGAATCCCTAAGCAATTTAAGGAGACCCTGTCTTAAATGTAAATAGGGTTGGGGGTGTGGCTCAGCGCCCCAGAGCCCCTGGAATGCGGCCTGTCTGTGTGACACCCCCGCCCAGGCCCCACCTTCCCTGGAAAGTCCGCCTGCTCTTCTGTCAGGACAGGCTTGGCCAGGCTCCCTATCAGATGGCCGGGGAGTCCCCTGTGGCCTAGGGCCGGGGCTTACCCAGGGAAGTTCAAGGCACCACCCCACACACCCCCTACACACACCCCCTACACACACCCCCCACACCCCCGCTTCAGGGGGGTCCTTCTCCTGGGGTGTTCTGGAGTTCCAGTGCCTTAACCAGAAAAGGCCGTGGACTTCAGGAATGGATTCTGGGCAGGAGTCCTCCCCAGGTCCAGTTCAGACCCCAGGCCTCTGTCTCCTGGGCCACTGCTGCCTGTCCCTGTTCCCTTTTCCCTCCCGCAGCAGGGCTGGGCTTGGTGCTGGGCTTGGTGCTGGGCTTGGTGCTGGCCACGCGTCCAGCCCTTTTCTTCCTGTTCTCTTGCTGTCTTCCGTGGCTCTGGGGCAGAGCTCGGGCGCGGCCCGTTGGTTTTGCGGTTTGGGTTTTTGCTTTTCGAGGTGCTGGGGATTGAACCCCGGGCCTTGTGCATGTGAGCCGGGCCCTCTGCCCCCTGAGCTGTGTGCCCAGCCATTGCATTCTATTTTGAAGGGCAGGGCCGACGGCCACTGTGCTCACACAAGTGTCGGGGGCACAAGTGTTTCTGGCCCTGAGCTCACACCAGGCGGAGCTGGATGGAAAGGGAGGGACCACACAGGGATCCTGCCCACTGCGGGTGAAGGCGGGGTGAGCTGGGGTGTCCTGGTGGGAACAGGGCCCAAGGGCCCTTGAAGTCCAGGCAGTGAGTCACCCCTGCCTGGGCTGGGGGTGCTAGTTTCAGGAGCATCCAGGCAGGGGCTGCCCAGGCCTGGGCCCCAGGGAAGTGGGCAGGGCGGGGCGGGCAGGCATTGAGCAGCTCTGGGGGTGCCTCCTGCAGCAGAGGGTGGGCTGCTCCCCTCATACGGAGGGTCCCACCAAGTCAGTGCTGCTGTCAGGGACTTCTGACCACGTCTGGGACGTGTGGTTGTCAAAACTGGGGCAGCTCCTGGCTGGAATGGGGGACCAAGGGTATTGTGCAGCGCCCTGCAGGGCCCGGGGTGCCCACCACAGAATGAGCCCACCCCACGTCCACAGTGCCAAGGGACCTGGCCGGGAAGAAAGTGGGCCAGATTTGGATCTAAGGGTCCAGGCTGAACCCAGACCTCAGACCTTGTCTGCCCTCGAGAGCAGCGCGGCCTGGTCAGGGGCCCACCTGTGATGCAGCCGCTCGGGAGGGTGCGCGGAAGGTGACTTGGAGGCAGGAAGACCTCATCTCAGAAAAACACGCAAAGGCTGGATGAGGCTCGGTAGTGACGCACATGAAAATAGCACCAAGAGAGAGTGGCACTGCCTCATTCCTGACCTGCAGAGCGGCAGGAGTCCTGCCCTGCAGGGGACGGCCAGGCTCCTAGGGGTTTCCTCTGGCTCCCAACCTGTGTTAGGTGAGTTCAGTAATATAAATGGCACTTTTAATTAACCACCGTTATATTAAATAATGAGTTATTAATAAGTAAAGGCCAAGGCTGGGCAGTGGCTCAGTGGAAGGGCGCTCGCCTGGCACAGGTGAGGCCCTGGGTTCCACCCTCAGCCCCACGTAAAAGTAAATAACATAAAAGCATGCCGTCCATCGATAAGTATTAAAAACTGAAAAAAAAAGTTAAGAGCTAAGCCCAGCAGGGTGTGCAGGCCTGCCATCCCAGCTACTTGGAGACTGGGGCAGGAGAATCTCAAGTTCGAGGCCAGTCTGGGCAACTCAGACCTGTCTCAAAATAAAAGGGCTGGGGGTGATAGAGCACCCCCAGATTCGACCCCTAAAACTGCAGTTAAGAAAAAGACAGCAAAAGGTCTCGGGTGCAGCCACCCAAAAGTAAGAATTAAGACCCTCCCACGGGCACCTCCTGTTGCACCAGAGCCTGGGTTCAGGTCCCTGAAGCCAAAGAGAAGTAAAACTGGAGTCCCCAGAGGTCCCCGAGCGGCAGTAAGAGTGTCCCTGCTGCGCTTGCCCCCGGACGCCCTGGTGCGGGAGGCTCCTCCCTGCCCAGCCCTCGATCACGGTGAGCAGATGGGAGGCACTGCCCGGGGCCAAAGCCACAGGGATCCTGCTGCCCCTCTAGCCAGACCAGCAGCGCTGGTGGGCCCGGGAGCTGCCTGCTGGAGAGGGAGACGCAAAGCCCTGTGTCCAGGCCTGGCCTCGGTGCTCGCAGGAGGGGCTCCCTGGGCGCCAGGGTGGCGGGCTGGGGCTGCGGGGTCCTGCAGTGCCCTGGCCTGCCCCCACTCTACACCGGGGCCCTCCATTGTGGCAGCACAGACGTCCCAGACACGGCAGAGCTGCCCTAGGAGGCCTGTGGTTGTGGGGAACAAGTGAGAGCTGTGGCCTCCAATCACTAGCCCTCAGGCTGAGTCGAGGCCGGCCCTGGCCCTCCCATGAGCCCGGGCACCGAGGGCATTGGCAGCTCCCTGGACAGATGGTCTTCTGGAGCATACACCCTCCTTGGCCCCTGAGGTGCATCAAGGTGGGACAGCTCCATGGGGTGTGGGATGACCAAGCAGGGTCGCCAGCTCGCTTCCTGTGCTGGCAGGGCCGCAGGAGTGAGGCCAGTCCACGCCACACACAGCCACAGGCCCTTCCTGCTCTCCAGCGTCTGGGGCTCTAGCCATCCCTGGCTATGCTGCCTCCTGAGTCCCTCCTCCCTGCAGAGACACCAGCCACTTCCTCCAGCAGGACGTAGTCTTAACTTGTCCCGGCCTGTGACGTCTGCAGAGGCCTGCTGGGGAGTTGGGCCCGGCCATAGCTCCAGGTTTAGGGCTGAACAAGTCTTTCACAGACCTGGATGCGGCCTGCAGTGGGGGCTGGGATGGCTGCTGTGGGACGGTCCCTCTGGGGACACGGGTGCTCTGCCATGGGGTGGTGGCCGTAACTACACTACTGGATGATCGGGTAGAAGGGTTGGATTTTCCACACAGTGTGTGCGGCTGGGGTGGAGCTCCGCGGCAAAGCGTCCGCCTTGCATCGCAAAGCCCTGGGTTCGACCCGCGGTTCCAAAAAAAGACAAAAAAAAAAAAAAAGAAAATCAGCAAAAAAAATTCATTTATTTATTCTAATTTGTCAATTCTATCTATTTTAAGCCAAAAGAAAAGATCATCCAGAGGGTTGAGTGCGCCCCCAGGACGCACCCACCACGGGAGCTGCTTCATTTGTTTTCTCTTTTTCTTGTTTTGCTGGGGTAGAACCCAGGCCTGGAGCGTGCCAGCCAAGGGCCCCACTGAGCCCAGAAAAAGGACTAAGGTAGACTGGAAGGCAGCACTGGGGCTACCTTTGTTCACAGGGCAGAGTCGAGGCTTCAAACATCATCGGCCAAATAGTAGGGTTGCCAGGCCAGAGGCCAGTGTTGCACACTGATCAAGAAAATACAGAACAAACCTCTAAACTTGGGCCTCACCCCCCACAGTGGTGGCAGGATGTGGAAACCGCCGGAAGGAAATGGGCAACTGTGGGCCGCACCTCAGCCGGGGAGGGGTCACAGCAGTTAGTTGACTTAGAGGAACTATGTTATATTTTGTTTTTATTAAGATAGGAAAAAGGCTGTGTGTTTGAGGCAGAGGAATTTGTCATCTTACCTTTCATTCTTCTAGAAGCTTCCGAAGGTCATTGCTGTCTCATCCGTTTGTGGGAAAACGAGGAAAATCCAGAGACATCGCCACCCAATTCTGAGAAGGGTTGGAAGTACACTAGAAGGTCAGAGAAAAGGACCCCGGAAGCAGGGACGGCCCTGGGGAGCGGGAGGAGCCATCACGCGCCCAGCCTGGCCTTGTGCAGCCGGCTGTGGCCTTCCTAGAGCGGCACCCCTGGGCCGTGGAATGGGTGTCCCTGATAGGACGCGGTGGCTTTGACGGGCGTCTGCCCAAGGGTTTGCAGGACGACATTTCACCCCCAAAGATGCTGCTGTCCAGGCTCTGAGGAGGCGGAAGCCAGCCTTCCACCCCCCAGCTTCTAGAACAGTCCTGGCGGGCTTGGGTGGACGGATGTGAGGGCTGGAGAGGGGGGCAGGCCTCTGGAGGGAGTCCGGCCTGAGCAGAGACACAGGGTTGCTCGCCTTCCCTGACCCCAGCCCCAGTCCAGGGACGTCTCCTCCGAAGCTGCCGGTCAGCCCAGAGCCTGGTCAGTATGCGGCCACATCACGGCTCTGAAGGCCCTGGAAGGCCATCCGGGCCTCTGTGGTGGGCCCTGCTCCTGCACTGTTCTGGGCTCCTCCCGCCCTGTCCAGGTGACAGTGTTGGAAGGAACGCCAGCGCTGTTCTGGACGCGCCCTGAAGAGGCGCCGGCCGCGCAGGCTGAGTGTCTGTGCTGTGGCTTCTGTCAGCCTTGGGACTGTGTGCCTGGTGAAGGAGGAACTTAGGGGTGAGCAGGGCCCGGCGTCTGGAGGTCGGGGTGAGGCCTGTGGGCAAGCCTCTGCTGGAGCCCTGGTGGCCAGGGCACCGGGATCACGGGGGGCCTGGAGCTTCCTTGCCCTGCTGCCCTGGGGGGGTCTCCTCCCCGAGTGACAGGGAGCAGCGAGGGCAGTGGTGGTGCAGGTGAGGGCCTGCAGGGGCCCTGCCTCCTCAGCCCCCGCTGAGTGCGGCCCGGGTGGCCGCGCCACCAGGAGAGACGCCAGACACCAGGGCCCAGGTGGCCTGGGGAGTCAGAGCTTCACAGGGACCCTGTAAGGTGGCCTGCCAGGTCAGCCCTGCTAGGCGCTGGGCAGAGAAGAGCAGGCAAGGGGCCTGTTCCCACCCGGAAAATCCGTGCTTGCTGCTGGCTCGTGGGGAGCCGCAGCGGGGCCCAGGGACCCAGCGAGGAGCCCAGGCCCTGGAGGTGGCTGCTGGGCTGGCGCAGCATCTTTGCCTGCACGGCCGCATCCTGCTCTAGGCTGTCCACCTGCGCGTGTGCTTGGGGTGCTGGTGGGTCCGCCTCCTTCTGACCTGGGCTCACTCAGTGATGCTGCTGCCGGGCGACTCTGGGTCACGTCTGGGGACACTGGTGGTCTTCATGACTGGTGGAGGCCAGGGATGCTGCTCAACACCCCACAGAGCCCAGGACGTCCAGCCCAGGGCGCACAGTGCTGAGGGGAGGCCAGTTTACCTGTGTGTAAATGGACGTGCATTTCTCCCAGGAAGACGCGAAGTGAGGCTGGGGACAGAGAGGGCTGGGGATAGCGCAGGGCTGGTCGAGGCCGGCCTCGCACGCACAAGGCCCTGGGCTCAACCCCCAGCACCACAAAAAACAATGTGAGGTGTGACGCCCTGGTCAGGTCAGTCCAGGTGGCAGGGAGCCCTGAGGCGAGGCCCAGGCACTGCAGGCAGGGCGACAAGGCGGGGTCCTCCCTGCCCTGGTACAGCCTGGGAGCCACGTCCCCATGCATGTCCCCTGTGTCGGTGGTCAGCCTACACCTCGTCCAGTGCACTTGTCGTGGCTGTGCGGCCGGAGCCCGGCCAGTGCTGAGCCCAGGAGGAGCTGTAGCAGAGGCCGGCGCCCGGTGATGGCCTTGCTGAGGCTGTGGCTGAGTGCGTGCACCTTGCTGTGTAAAGTGTGCAAGTCAGCGATTTAATGCATCCTCGGAGTTGGGTTCCAGAACATTCCATCCCACCAGAAGCAAGCCCCGCCCCTCCCACCCCTGCACCTGCGGTCCATGTCCCGTCTCTGGGACTCCTGTCCTGGAGTCTCCTGTCACGGGACACACGCTGTGACCTTGCGTGTCTGGCTCTCAGAACCGGGACCTCAGGTTCATCCATGCTGCCGCTATGCCAGCGTGTTCCTGCCCTGGCCGAGGACGCTCCGGGTGGATGACATGTCACGTCTGTCCTCGGTCTCTTGGTGGATGCCTGGCTCCTCCTGGCTATGTGGCCTGGGCGCGTGAGCAGGATGTGCACGGCTTTGTGTAGCAGGAGTCTTCAGCCTCTGTCCCCAGCACTGCAGTTGTTGGTCACGTGGGTCCTGCCACCTCTTGCCATGGTGGCTGCACCATGTCCCAGTGGGCCCTGCCACACTTGTGCTCTCTGGTTACACTCACCCTGACACCCGCCGTCCTACCAAGAGTGCAGCTGGCTCGTCCCCTTTCCGGGGCCTGAGGCTGCAGCCAGCCTTCCCTCCCGGGGCTGCTCAGCCCCTGCTGTCCCACGTCCACCTCCCTGCACCCACAGCCCCAAAGGGGACCAGAGGGCCTGCACCTGGGCTGCGTTTGCCCGGGACCTGGGTGATGCAGCCGTGACCACATGGTGACTCTGCCCTGCTTTAAGCGGTGGCCGCTTGTCTCTGGGTTTCCTGTTGACACCAGAAGTCACCGGCTCTGGCTGAAAACGGCATGCTCTTCCCCGCAGCTGTGGCCGGGAGCTGACGCAGGCCTCGCTGGGCCGGACCCGGGCCACCTCCAGGCTCTCCGACCCGGGCCCTCCTGCGTCCTCTCGTGAGGACGTGTGGTGATGCTAGGCCTGGACAGTCCTCAACCATGCCCCAACTCACAGTTCTGACCTCTGTGACTTCCCCCGACTGTTGGGTGAGGGTCCTTGCCCTGCGCTGTCGGCAGGGCCGCTGGCTCTCTGTGTGTGGCGGGTATGGAGCAGCCTCCCAGCAGATGTGACGAGGACACCCACTGAGCCGTGCCCCAGCCCTTTCCATGCTTTATTTTGGAACCGGGTCTCAGTTGCTGAGGCTGGCCTCAGCAATGCCATCTTCCGGCCTTGGCCTCCCCGGAGATGGGGTGAGGTGGCAGCGGTGCCCGGCTCCTGGAGGTCTCTGTATTCAGATGTGTAAGGTCCCCAGTTCATGTCCGCCTGGAGCCTCGCAGTGGAACACCATTTGGAAGTGCCATCTTTGAAGATGTGACTTAGTTGGTTTGAGGTCACCCTGGAGTAGCGTGACTCCCGTCCAGTGACTGCAGCAGGAGCTTAGGGACTACGTCCAGGGGTCCAGGCAGGGTCGTCCAGGCCCCTCCACGGCACATGGTCCTTGGTGTCCTGGGCTGTGGCCTTTTTCACATGGCGTCCCCACTGTGTCGTCTTACCAGGACACTGACTGTCACACCCCACTACTGTACACTCAGGGTCACCCAGGGGAACTGGGCTCCATGAAAGAACACACAGAGACAGAGATACTTTTTTCTCTGGGTCCTGTGACGGTTCCTCTGACCTTAGGGGTCTGTGGAGAGAGAGAGAGAGAGAGCACGTGCTGAACCCTTTTATTGAGGACAAGCCACTCAGACGAGGTCAGGGGCAGGTTACAGAGGAGCAGGTGAGTGCAGCTCAGTCCCCGGGGGTGACACCTACACCCGGAGACCCACCCAAGTCACCACGAAGTGTAGGGATTGGTCAGAGCCTCGTGCTTCAGGACTGGAAGGCGTGGTCATTCAGAGCCGTTCCCACAACTGACCACTGGATTCAGGACCACCCAGCTGGCTCAGGGTCACCTCCTCCCAGGATTCGGCTTTCTCCTGTCCTCAGTGACCCTTTGTCAGAACCTGTGCACACCTGTGACCTCAGCAGCTTAGCAAGACCCCGTCTCCCAAGAAAATAGAACGGGGGCTGGGTCGCAGCTCCGTGGGAGAGACTGGCCACAGGACAGACTGAACTGATGGAGGAATTTGTCATCTACAACTAACACTGTTTTTAAAACAAGAATAAGAAAAATAAAAAGAGCTGGGGTGTGGCTCAGAGATGAAGCACCTCTGGATTTAGTCCCTTGGACCAAAAATAAAAGATCACCAGTGAAGGTTGGGGGTCCCATGTGGCAGCTCCTATGATGGCCACCACCGGAGACCTCAGCTTGTCCTCACAGGCAGCCTCTGGGCACGGTGGGTCTGGCCCTCCGGGCCCAGCGAAGGATCCAGCTACCCCGGGCACCACAGGCCCTGCCTCTCAGTGTCCCCTCCTCTGGGGTGGCCCCGCTGTGCCACGTAGCCACGGGGCCACCTGTCCCTGAGTAGCAGGCCCCAGTTGGTGCAGCTGCATCACGCTCCGTGCCACCGTGCAGATGGCAGGAGCCGCCATGGCCCCACCATCCTGAGCCCTCTGTCCACTGTGTTTCAGATCCAGAGGAGGAGCCGTGGGCTGGGTGGCCTCCCTGGGCCTCTGTCGGCCTGCCTCGTGGACTGTCCGCCTGTCCTTGGCTGCGTCCCAAGACGGTGGTTCTGCCACCATGTCCAGCCCCTTCCTGAAGCAAGTCTTCAACAAGGACAAGACCTTCCGGCCCAAGCGCAAGTTTGAGCCAGGCACCCAGCGCTTCGAGCTGCACAAGAGGGCCCAGGCGTCACTGAACGCGGGGCTAGACCTGCGGCTGGCCGTGCAGCTGCCCCCGGGCGAGGAGCTCAACGACTGGGTGGCCGTGCACGTGGTGGACTTCTTCAACCGCATCAACCTCATCTACGGCACCATCAGCGACGGCTGCACGGAGCAGTCCTGCCCCGTCATGTCGGGGGGGCCCAAGTACGAGTACCGCTGGCAGGATGAGCAGCGGTTCCGTAGGCCCACGGCGCTGTCCGCCCCCAGGTACATGGACCAGCTGATGGACTGGGTGGAGGTGCAGATCAACAACGAGGACGTCTTCCCCACCAACGTCGGTGAGTCCCCGGCCGCCAGGGCCCCGCGCGGGGCCAGGCAGGCAGAGGGCCGGGCCAGCTCAGCCCTGGGCTGACCGGGCTGTGCTCCGCATCCTGCTCCCCGCCTGCACGTGTGCAGACCGGGGTTTGTAGAGGTCACAGAGCTGCACAACTTCACCTCTCTGGTCTGATTTCGGAAAGTTCCTGGCTGGGCACAGCGTGGCCAGGCAGAGCCCTCGAGTTCACACAGCACTGGGCTGGCCCTGGGGACACGTGGGCCACATGTCCCACAAGAGCAGGGAGGGGGGGTGCCCCTGGTGGTGGGGCTCTGCTGGCCTGCGTGAGGCCCTGGTTCATCCAGCACCGAAAAGAGCCCAGGAGAGAGCGGCCCTGGGGGCCCGTGACAGTTGGGGCACCTGAGGAGACCCTGCAGGGACCAGCAAGGACAGGGTCGGCTGCTGCAGGAGAGGCGCTGTGGCCTCAGCCTCCTGGGGTGACCAGCAGGTGGGACTGTGCAATGGGAGGGGACAGGGGCCCACAGTGTCCTCCTGCCTGCCTGGGCTGGCCGCTGCTTGGTCCCCGCTTCTCTCTGCCTCTGCGCCCCACCAGGTGAGGGACGGCTCTCCTCCCTCCTGTCGGAGCCTCTGCAGCCATGTGCACCTGAAAGGAGCCGGCACGGCCTCCCGAGCCCCAGCCCAGCCTCCTCCTGGCGGGTGGAGGCATCCCTCCTGCCTGGCCCTTCTGTGCCCGCCATCCCCGCTCCCCAGCGGGCCCTCTGAGTGGGCCCCCCCAGCCTGCCAGAGGCCACTGCCCACCACCAAACTCCTCTCTGCTTCCAAAGGGGAAGACCCGCCCTCGTGGCTTCCGCCCCAGGGCTTCTCACCAGAAACGAGGCTCGGACAGTGGGTTCAGAAGTGGCTGCAGAGGCGCCTGGGGTCCAGGGGCCACGGCAACTCGCGCCACGCAGGTATCTCGCCACACACTTGTGCGCCCTCTCGCCGCTCTGGGCGCAGAGGTCGGGCCTGCCAGGGTAGACCCAGGGGCTGTGGCGGCCTCCTGAGGCCCAGGGAACGTCTTCGTCCTCTCCTCCAGCTCCAGAGCCAGCAGCACAGTGTCTTCCAGGCCCTCGGACCCCAACTCCCTGCCTCCTCTCCAGAGGACCCTGTGGTGACCCTCGGTGACTCTAGTCCCACAGAGTCCCTTTTCCCACCGAGGCTAGGTGCACAAACTGAGAATTCTGACATGGGACGTCTGTGTGCTCTATTCAGTGACCCCAGGACCCAGAAAGCACAGTGCTGTCCACCTGCCGACGCTCTTCAGCTTGTGGGTGTGTGTTTTGCCAGGTGTGAAGGCCACACCCATGGCCCTCGAGCTGGGGAGGCTGAAGCAGGAGGCCAAGGCAGGAAGATGGCAGTGCAAAGCCAGCCTGGGCTACTTAGTGAGCCCTGAGTAACGTGGGAGACCCTGACTCCCAATCAAGTAAACAAGGCTCGGGGTGTGGCCAGTGGGCACCCCCGGTCAGCTCCCAGCACGGCCGTGGACGTGCGGGCTGGACGCTGTGGCACTCCGCAGCTGGCCATGTTGTCTCTCTCTCCCTGGCCACGGCGATGCTCAGTGGCCCTGCTGGGATGAGTGGCCCCAGGCTGACCTGTGTCCAGCCCAGGGCGCCTGTCTCACCTCTGCATCCTGTGGTCTGGGTTTGGGTGGTTCATGGACAGAGTCCTCTGGGACGAGGGGAGGGAGCCGTGGTGGGCGTAGCAGTGGGGGCTTCCGAGGGAGCTTCCTGGGGTCAGAGGCAGCCCCAGTGAGACCACCGGGTGGGGCCAGCCAGGCTCAGGCCGCTGCCCTCGTTCTGGGGAAAGGGGCTCCTTCCTGGGCACAGCCCAGGTGCCTCCCCGGCGGCCTCCACTCTTAGCTGCGGGCAACAACGTCCTGGTGCCCAGGAAGCAGGCTGTGGGGCCCGGGGCAGGTCTCGGCTGCCGTGCGCCTCGCGAGTCCAGGCCGGGTGGCTCCGGTGGAGGGCACCCTCGGCCTGCAGCGTCCTCGCCCTATCCCCCACCTGCCAGGCACGCCGTTCCCCAAGAGCTTCCTGCAGGTGGCGCGGAAGATCCTGTCGCGCCTGTTCCGCGTCTTCGTGCACGTGTACATCCACCATTTCGACCGCATCGCGCAGATGGGCTCCGAGGCCCACGTCAACACCTGCTACAAGCACTTCTACTACTTCGTCACCGAGTTCGGCCTCATCGACACCAAGGAGCTGGAGCCGCTGGTGAGAGGCCGCGGGGCTGTGGGGGCCGTGCAGAGGGGCCTGGGCTCGGCCTCGGAAGGCTCTGGGCAGCCTGTGCCCACAGCCCTGGCCAAGAGGCTCAGAAGCCACCAGCCGATGCCACCACCACAGGAGCCAGAGGGAGGCGTGAGGGTCCGCCCCGTGCCGGCCCGGCCCCGCCCCATTCTCCGGCTCGTGGAGGCTGAGGAGGGCTGTGTGCTGCCCAGGCTGGACCAACCTGGGTAAGGAGAGTGATGTCCCTTCTTTAGTTTGGGGCCCAAACCCATGATGTGGTGACAGGGACCAGCTCCAGCAGGAAGGCCTTGAAGGGGGTCACAGGGCTGTGGTGCTGCTGGGCTTCTGGGGACGTGGGCACCGTTCCCTGCCAGACAGCCCACCGAACAGCAGAGGGCCCACACTTGGGGCCGCTGCACCGTCCCTGCTCTGGGTTCCTTCTGCCACAGAGAGCCTTCTGGCGGGCACCCCAGGGTGGGGCGCCCAGCAGGTCCAGGTCAGGCCCAGAGCCCCGCGCCCGCCCGGTGCCAGCCCCGCCCTCCTGCTGCTGGCTGGGGGCAGCGGGGCTCGGGCTTTGCCTGGGCGCGCTCCGGGACTCCTGTGCCCGCCGTCCAGGGTGCCAGAGTCCTCCTGTGCCGCCGATCTCATCCTCACCAGCTGGCTCCCTGCTCTGCCCTGCCGCTTGGCCTGTCCTCGTGGGCGTCTGCGGGTCTGACGTCCCGTCTCTCTCCACAGAAAGACATGACCGCACGGATGTGCCGCTAAGAGCCCGGGCCACCACCAGCCTCCGGGGCCTACAGGAGGGCATCTTTGACTCCATGGCGTCTGTCCCTGCAGCTGAGCATCCTGGGGGCTTCGCACCTCTGGGGGCTGGCCAGGACACGTCCTCTTCCCTGGCCTCAGTCTCCTCCTCTGTCAAGAGGAGGCTGAACCTGGACTCCGGGATTTTGTTTCTTAGCAACCGGGAAAACCCACTGTGTTTGTGGACCTCGTCCTCCTGCCAGGTGGTGGGGCCGCCCACTGCAGCCCACCTCCTGGCCCTTCTCAGAACTGCCCCCAGCCCCGCCCTGCCCTACCGTGGCCTTCAGGCTAGTCCCGGCCAGGAGGGAGGCCGGCTCCGTCTCAGCCTCTCCCGGCCTCAGAGCCAGGGCTCTGCACTGTGCCCACGGAGCCCCCAGCCCTTTCCCAGAGGGGACGACTGGGCCAGGCCGGCCCTGTGTGGGGCTTCCTGTGCCCACGCACCTGCCCGCGTCCGGCCGAGTGTCCTGGTGCTGCGGGGCCCAGGCCTGAGTGCTGCAGGTCTCAGGGTCCTGCCCTCAAGGTCTTTTGGGAGGGGCACCAGGGGTTGAACCCAGGGGGTGTCACCCGAGCAGTCACCCTGAGCCGCCCCCCCCCCCGCTTTGTGTTGAGACACAGGGTCTTGCGGGGTCTCCCAAGCTGGCCTTCGCCATCTCCTGCCCCAGCCTCTTGAGTCACCAAGGTGGCGGCCGTGGCCACTACCTGGCTTAAGATGTTCTTAAAGGTGTTCTTCCAACTAGTAGCTAGTGACCCCAGGATGTCCCTTCCACTGCCACCAGCCCAGGAGTGGCCCCCCTGGATGTCTCCACTGACTGCCTGGGGGCAGGAAGTGGCCTTTTTTTCAGGTGCCTGAGAACTTTCTAGAGAAACCCTTTGTGCCACCCCCACAGGGCCACAGGACCAAACCCAGGGACACCCCGTTTCCCTTGGAGGCTGTGCTGGGGCATGACCAAAGGACTCCTCACCTGGCCCAGCTCCGCCCCCAGCCACACCCCCTGGCCTTGGCCTCTGTGGCCCTTCCCTGCTGACCCAGCGCGGCCCCAGCCACAGGGACTCTGTCCTCCCCGGTCTGGGAGGCGCTCAGCTGAGCAGTGCTGCTGACACTGTCCTGCCTGACCCCGGAGCTCAGGGAGCCACAGGACATGTCCCCAAGCCTGGGAGGCCACTGTGCCAGCAGCCCACGTACCAGGAGGTCCCTGAATCCCATGGCACTGCCCTCGCCCCACCCTGCTCTGAGACCATCCTCCCACCTGGGCGCGGAGGACACGGGCACCCTGGCTGCTGGGTGTGCTGCCGTTTCCCAGCAGAGGAGGGTCTAGGGTGGGACAGCAGCCGTGGGCATCTTGTCCCCAAGGGGTTTCTCAAATAAACAGATGCATTGGGGCACTCAAGTCTCATGGGACCCTCTGGGCAGCGGAGGAAGGGCTGCTGGAAGGCCCTGCAGGCACTGGGCTGTCCCCCACTCACCTGCCGACTGGGCGAGGCAGAAGCTCGGCCAGGTCCCACAGGGGTGACAGCTGGGCTGGCGTTGTGGTCTGCACCGACCAGCCCTGGGGCCTGTGCATGCCAGGCCAGCCCTCTACCATACCCCAGCCCTCGGGCCCTCTCCCTTCTTTCTGGGGGGCTGGGGCTGGAACCAGGGCTTTGCACATGCAGGGCAGGCACCCTACCACGGAGCCCACCCCGGCCCCCTTTATTGTATTCTGAGACAGGGTCTCATTGAGGTGCCCAGGCTGGCCTGGCTCATGCAGCTCTCCTGCCTCGGCTTCCTAAGGTGCCCTGAAACTGTCACATGTGAAAAAATGTGGGGCTGGGTGCTGTGGGACACACCTGTCATCCCAGCAGCTCGGGAGGCTGAGGCAGGAGGATCACGAGTTCAAAGCCAGCCTCAGTAAAGCCAGGCACTCAGCACCCCAGTGAGACCCTGTCTCTAAATAAAATACAAAATAGGGTTGGGGCTGGGGCTCAGTGGGCACGGGCCCCTAAGTTCAATCCCTGGTACTAAAAAAAATGTGGGGAGGGGTGACGGTCTTGGAGCCTCTGTCATTGTGCAATGTCTGCAGTGGCCGTGCTGCTGGCCTGGTGGACAGGAAGAGGCCACAGTGAGGCCCTGGGGGTCGGGCGGCGGCTTCCTGGATACCTGGTCCTCAGCACTGCCCAGTGAGAGGAGGCTGTCACTGGGAGGGGCTCCTGCCCTGAAGGCCACACCTCTGTGCCACTCCAATGCGTCCTCAGGCAGCAGGGGCTGGGAGCAGGGGGCAGCCCACGTGGGCAGAGGACCAGGGCCTCTGTTCCTTCCTGGCTCCACCGCACCTGGGCCTCCGCTTGGTCAAATCCAGGGGAGAGAGCACAGGACCAGATGGGTCTCCGATGTGACCTAGTGATGCCACATGCTTAGCCACAGCCACCCCATCCCTGCCTGGGACCAGGCAGGCCCCAGCCACGTGGCTGGACCCTGCGGGCGTCTCTGGTGCCCCTGGTAGGAGGTGGAGTGCACCTCAGAGCCTGTGCACACGGGCGGGCTCCGGCCTGGGCCTCACCCCAGCCTTCTTAGTGTCCCTGGGGGAGTCCCCAGAGCAGGCCCCAGGGCTGTGGGCAGGCCAGGTCCTTCTGGGTGGCGTCCTGGGCCCTGAGGGTGCAGGGCAACAGTCCCTGCCTCCTCCCCTCCAGGCCAGGAGCTACCCAGTTGTGACAGCCAAACATGTCCCAAGAGGTGGCCCAGGGTCCACTGGGGGCAGAATCAGTCCCATTTGAGAGCCTCTGGATCAGGGGTCACCACAGTAAACACAGCCCAGCGCCCACTGGCTGAGCCACTCTGATCCTAGACAGGACAGGATGCCACGCCTGCCTGCCTGGGCAGCACTGCTGAGCGCCCTCCACCAGGGCTGGCCGCTCCCCTGACTCTGCGCCCCTCCCGAACCCTGTCCTGCCCCCAGTGCCCTGGGTCTGCCCCCACAGCCCTGCTGGGTGGCAGCTCCTGCCGGCTGCGTCCTCCGCTCCTTCCTGATGCTCTGCTCACCTGTCCCTGCCCTGGAGGTCAGCAGAGCTTTCTTCAGGTCCAGTCCTGGCCAACAGAGGACAGGCTACCTGATGGCTGCCTGGGTCGCTGGGGGGCCTGTGCCTCCAGGGTTCTGGCTGCACACCTGGGCCCAGGTGCCGCTCACAGACCTGCCGCCCGCGCCCCACAGGCGCAGTCTAGGGTTCTCAGTGCACTGACTGTGGACGCTGCACAACCATGGCCTCCGCCCAGCTCCCGGACAGTCCACTACCCCAAAGGAAGCCGTGACCCATGAGTCTGTCCCCAGCCCTGCACCGCGAGTCCACGTCCCGTCTTGGCACCCTCCTGTTGCTGGGTCACACGCTGTGGCTCTCACTGAGCGCAAGGTCCTCAGGTCCCTCGGCACTGCCGCTGCCACCGCGCTCCTGCTGGTCATGGACAACGTTCCAGCACAAGGATGGGCGTGCTAGGGTGCCCTGTCCCCTGCTGGCTGGGCACCCCCATGTGTCCAGCTCCGCTGCTCTGTGCTGCCCTTCACTCTGTAGTTCTGCTCACCTCCTGGGTGGCCGCCCAGGGGTGCTGCTGGGCCATCGTCCCCCTCCCAAGCTGGTTAGTGGGTGGAAGACAGGAGCAGCTGGCAGCTGCCGCCCCTCCCCTGGGAAAGCAGCAGAGGTGGCCTCAGCTCCAGGCCACCGGCCCTGTCACTCTGCTGCTCAGCCTCTGGAGACCAGCCCTGGCCTCCCAAGAGAGGCTGGAAAGCAGAGGAGGTGCGGTCAGCCCGCGCCACCCCCGACCCCTCGGCCCGGGCCCCCAGTGCTGATTCACCAGCTGCTGGAAACTTCTCTGGCCGTGCTCCGCTGCTGCCCTGGTCTTGACCTCAGCATGTGACCGGCACAAGGCTGGCGGAGGCCCCACTGCCAGGTCTCTGGAGGGCCATGATGCGGGGAGCTGCCAGGGTCTGCACAGTGGCCTGCAGTGGCACAGCCCTCTGCCTCCGCCCAGCCTACACCTGTCCCCTGGGCTGGCCAGGCCATCTGCTGAGACTCCTGGGAACAGAACCTGGCCAGCACACCGTCCACCCAGTGTCCTCCTCAGCCCCTGCTGCCCACAGGTGCTGAGAAGCCAGCCTTCTGGTCACTTGTCCACCAGGAGACAAAGGCCCCCTGGCACAGAAGGGCAGCCAGGTGGAGGCTGTGTTGGTCTCCGAGGCTGTGACCAAGCGAGGGTGACAGCACAGGGTGTCCTCTGGGTGACTCCAGAGCCCCTGCGGTCGCCCTCTACACAGTGCTCCTCTCCACCGAGCTCTGACCTCCTGTCCCTGGGTATCAGACTCCAGGGACCTCCCGGGTGGGCCCTGCAGCATGTCCTTCTGTCTGGCCCCAGGTCCCCTGGCCACCCACACTGTGCTGTGTGGAGCCTTGCTATTTTTTTTTCCATCTTTTTCCTTTTCCCCCTGTGCTGGGGATTAAACCCAGGGTGCTCTACTACTGAGCTGCATCCTCAAAACTTTTTTTAAATTTTATTTTATTTTCAGACAAGGTCTTGATAAGTTGCCAAGGTGGCTGGAATTTGTAATCCTCCTATCTCAGCCTCCCCAGTGGCTGGGATGATAGGTGTGGCCACCACACCCAGCTTGTCTTGCTCATTTTCATGGCTGAATAATACTCCGTTGTATGGAAGGACCACTTTTAAATTATTAATTGATGAACAGTTATGTGGCTTCCACTTTTGGGTAATTGTGAATAATGATGTTATGTACACAGGTGTATAAACATAGGTGTAGCTTTCCTATTTTAAAAAATAGTTTAAAGAGCTGGGCACCGTGGTGCATGCCAGTAATCCCAGTGGCTTGGGAGGCTGAGGCAGGAGGATCATGAGTTCAAAGCCAGCCTCAGCAAAAGTGAGGCCCTAAGCAACTCAGTGAGACCCTGTCACTAAATAAAATACAAAATAGGGCTGGGGATGGGGCTCAGTGGTCGAGTGCTCCTGAGTTCGATCCCTGGTACCTCCCCTAAAAAAATAGTTAAAGGAAATAAGGAAGGCCAGCAGGGAGGAGGGAAGGGAAGATTCACTGTTGCTAGCTGCAGCCTGAGAAGCAGGGGAGACAGAATCCTGTCACTCAAAATCCAATGCTGGATGGGGCGGGGACTGTGGCTCAGCGGTGGAGCGCTCGCCTAGCACGGGAGGGACCTGGGTGACATCCTCAGCACCACATAAAAATAAGGCATTGTGTTGTGTCCATCTACACCTAAAAATAAATAAATATTAAAAAAAAATGCTGGGGTTTGGGGGGGCGGGCAAACTGGGCTCCAGCTGTTGGGGTGGTGGAGAGGGTAGGGCGAGGTTGGCCTGGCCATCAGAAGGATGGAGCAGCCGGCCGGCCATTTGTCACAGCCACAGGAAGCCAGCGCCCGCCCGGCGGCCTGCACCCACATAGCCCTGGGCGGGGCTGTCTCAGTTTCCCACGGCAGCTGTAGGTGTGGCCTGCAAACCTAGAGACAGGCGGACTCCACCAGGGCAGAAGGAAGGGTGGCAGGGACCAGCCTGGGGCGCCGAGACTTAAAGGACCAGAGGGAGACCCCGGGTTCATCCCAGCACTGCAGAAGACAGACACGTAAAAATAAAGGGCCGGGAGCAGTTTTGAGGACCTGCGGGGGGGCTTGGGGCCGTGGGGACTCAGAGCAGAGTGAAGACCAGATGTTCCCCCTGGGAAAGGCCTTTTCAGGGAGAGAGATGCCAAGGGATTGGATGTCGAGGTGCAGACATCTTGGAAATGAGGTGTGAGGTGAAGAGCAGGACCTCGAGGGCCCAGGGGCGAGACAGGTGAGAGGGACTGGTGGCTGGACCACAAGCGGAGGAGACGCTGTGTGGGGACAGAGGCTAGCTGCCCAGGCGGGGCAGGGGCAGATCCCCGGTGCGGCCTCCCGGGTTCTTTGTATCAGAATTTCACAGAAGCACAAGTAAGACAGGAATGAGGCTCCTCAGCTGTAAGCTGGCTCCTAAGAGGACAAAAGCTCCAGGCTGACTCCAACTAAGGACAAAGGGGCACAGCTTTTACGGCATCTGCCATGGGGGCCTCCTCTTGACGTCCTGTAGAGGTGGGGTCTCAGCTGCCCTGCGCTCCACCACACCTTGGCACACACCACGGAGCCTTAGCGTCGCATTGTACTCCCCACCTTGGGGCTGATTTTGTAAGCTGACACAGCCAATGTGACCCTGTCATGGCAGCAGGCGTTCTAGGCATGTGCTATGGCAGGGAGAGGCCCTGGTCGTATTTTCAGAGCAGGACAGACTATTGGCTGTCTCAGTAGCTTGGTGACCCTGTCTTTCTGGTTCTGACTTCTTGGTCTCTCGGCTGACCACAGAGTCTCAGGGTCAGCCTGCCTCCCCGACTCCGGCCTCCGGCCTCCAGCTATGCTATCTTCATCATACAGCTTTGAAGACCCAGTCTCTTTTTAACTCCCGATTTTCTGGCATGTCTGTTAATCCCATGGGATGGGAGGCTGGCTTGGCTCTCCGGTGGTGATCTGAAGAGGAGTGCAGACATCAGACTGCTTCTGTGTATTTCTGTAATGAAAAATATGTGTATCAGAAAAAAATGAAAGTCCAAGAGAAATGTAGACTATTTATTTATTAGTGGAACTGGGAATTGAGCCCAGGGCCACTTTACCACCAACACATCCCCAGCCCTTTGTGTTTTGAGACAGAAGCTCACTTAGTAGTTAAGGTTTCCCTAAGTTGCCAAGGCTGACCTTGAGCCTGACATTCTTGCCTCTGCCTCCCAAGCAGCTGGGTGACAGGCGTGGCGCCTGCCCAGGAAGAATATGGACCTTTTAAAAGCTCTCTCAAGGGATGTCCGACATGGGGGCGCGGGTAGGGGCAAGCAGCAGGAGCCAGACTCCGGTGTGGGCTGCAGACAGGAGACCCCCCCAGTGCTCCAGTGGGAAGGAAGTGGGGTTCAAGAGGGTCCCAGTGGGAGGTGAACGTGGGGTCTTAAGGATCCTGCAGTTAGCTGAATCACAGCTCCCAAAGACATCTACATGGTCACCCTGGAACCTGTGAATTGGTCGCTTCAGGTGACAAAAGGAACCAGCTCGACTTGAGCCCTGGGCCTTCAGCATGTCCACTCCCCTACAGCCACCCCGAGCATGCTCCAGGGGTACGCAGAAGTCCCTTCACCGTGTCCTCGCGCAGGGTCTGACTTTGGCTGATGGGCCAAGAAGAGCGCAGAGGAGGGCTGTCCGGGTGGTCCTGGGGGACACTACTGCCTGGCTGCTGCACCCCTAATGGTGGCTCAGAGCCTCACCACCTGCCCCTCCAGCAAGGTAGGGGTGCTTGAAAGGGATGTCTCCTGGCCACCTGGTCAGAGCTGCTGGAGCTGGTCCCCTGGGGAAACAGGCCCAGGAGGCCAAAGTCCTGGCCCGGAGTCAGTCATACCGCCGGGCATAGGAGAGGCTGACCTCGCCAGACCCGTTGACCACAACCAGGGGCCCAACGTCTCCGCCCAAAAGCCGGGGCCAGCGAGGCGCGGAGGGATGTTCGCAGTCCCATGAAGAAGTTCCCGGTCCTGCCGGCCCGGCCCGACTACGACTGTCTCATTGGGTAGACTTGGGCGTTAGCCACGCCCTTCAGGTCCCTGGAATCCTATTGGTCCAGCACCCAGGCACCGCCTCTCACCCCTGGAGCCCGGGAGACCCGCCGGTTAGATGACGCAAACGTGTTTCGTTGGCAACCGCTCCTGGACCGGACCCGCCCTCTAGCCAAGGCGCATGCGCGTGGCCGTTACGGCTCCCCGAGGCTCGCAGGCGGTTCCCCGGGGCCCGCCGTGTCCCATCTCCCGCCGCCCGTCACCTTGGGGCGGAGAGCGAGCTGAGCCCCAGAGATCGTCCTCCCGAAAGGCACGTCCACGGAGTGGAAAAGGGTGTGGCGCGGTGGAGACCCCGCAGACGGGGCAGGCTGGTGGCCGGTGGCCTTGCCGCCCGGCGGTAGGTCGCTGGAGGGTTTGGCAGCGCAGCAGATCCACGCACCAGGGGGAAGGCAGCCTGAGCCAGACCTCGGCGCATCCTCACACCGCAGCCCAGGCTGCTGCAGTCGGGGACCAGCTGGCTGGACCTTCCTTGCTTTCCCCCTCTGCAAGATGGGAATGGGGAAGGCCGCCGTGTTCCTGCCTGGATGAGTCTCCTATGGCTGCTGCAACAAGTCAGCACAAGTTCAGGGCCTTGAAGGGGCCCCAAATGATCCCCTCAAAGACCTGGGGCCTCCTAGAATTCCTGAGGCCCCTGAGAGTCCATGTCCCCCTCTTCCAGCTCCTAAGCCCCCTCAGCCCTGAGCTCCTGCCCCCTCCTCCAGCTCCAGGGCCAGCAGCAGTGTCTCCCAGACTGTCTGATTTTGACCCTCCTGCGTCCTCTCATGGGACCTGTGGTGACCACAGACCCCAGCTCAGGGTCTCCCCTGATCCCACCTGCAGAGTCTCTTCTGCCATGGAAAAGTGCCAGTCACCTCCCAGGATCTGCACAGGTACCCTGAAAGCACCCTCTCCAAAGTAGGAGCTGTAGGATGTGATGCCCCTGGTCCCTGGGACTGGGTGGGTAGCCGAGTCCTTCCTGTTCTCCCTGAGGGCCACACAGGTGTCCTATGGGTTTCATCAGTGGGTATAACTTAGAGGATGTGGCAGGAGGAAGTCAGATGACAAGCCAGGTGCCTGGACCTCAGTTACTGGGGCAGGGTGTTGGCCTTTGCCCATTTGCTGGGCCAGCCCTGCCCAGCCACATAGCCCTGTCCCCATGCCTCCTTTGGGGACTGTGCAGTGACCAACCCCCAGAGAGTCCAGACATGTGATGCTACCCGGTCAGAGCAGGACAGGACCCAGGGCTGCCCAGCGGCCCACCCCCAGTCCAGGACAGCAGGCCCTGGCTCCGTCCCCAGCACTGCTGAGCCACTGGAATGAGCATGCCTGAGTCAGTCGGCAGGAAGGGACACTTACAGCCACTTGCATCAGATGGCCCCATGGGCAGGAATGCCAGCTCAGCAGGAGGCCTGTGATGGCCTTGCCATGCCCCTCACTTAATTGGGGACCCTCCTTGGGGCTGTGGTCCCCATCCCTGGATGAGGTGGGGGTGCAGTCTAAGCTGGGTGCTGGGCCTGGACACCTGATTCCACCTCTGGAAATCCAACCTCCCAGGAGCTGTGATGGCTAGGGTGCTGCCATCTGGGCTCTCCCACACCTGCTGGTGCCTGAGGGCAGTCCTGCATCTCCTAAGCCTTGCTGGCCAGCTCTGAGCAGGGCAGGAGGGAAGCTAGCCACCCCCTGAAAAGCGCAGCTCAGTCTTGTGAGGAGGCTGCAAAGTCCCAGCAACACAGGCAGGTGCCCGTGAACAGCAAGACTCCCCTCGACAGCCAAGTTGGCTCTGTGTCCTATGGGCTAACAGCAGTGCTAGAAAACCCGTCTCAGGTTATGGGAGTGAGATGACACTCCAGGAGGCGGGAGGCTGAGGAGTCAGCCCAGCCTTCTGAGACGACTCGGTCAGTAGCGGTCAACAGAGCACCGTCTTCCCCATTCTGAAAACAATAAAACTCGAGGCTCCCAGAAGAGAAGGGTAATTCCAGGGGAGGGGCCAACGTGTGTGGAATCCTCACCAAAGTGAGGCACAGTCCCCCCTCCTTAGCAAATGCAGTGCACACCCTCCTGGAGACGGAAGGTGGCCTTGGCCCCTGGATCACACACATGGGACTTGGTGCACATGAAGTCTGATGAAGGCCACAGGCAACTAGAGTTCTGCCTCTGCACATGGGGAGTTGAGATGGAGTTCCTGCTTACCCCTACGGATGCCATTAAAGCTCTTCCCCTTCATCCTCTGCCGAGTCAGCCCGGGGTCTCTGTCCCCCAGTGCTGTCAGACACCACAGAACCGCCCCGACCCACCCCCAGTAAAGTCTTGCATGTGCTTAAATTATTTCCAGTTCCAGGGTTCATGTGTACAGCTCAGAACCCGACACCGCGCATGGTCCCCACTTAACGCGTGTGCGCAGGGGTGCACGCAGGCCCAGCACCCACTGCTGCTCCCACCTGTTTTGCCTGCCCAGCCACAGGCTCAGTGCCTGTCTGCAGCATCTGCTTCAGGGACACACCACACGGTCTCTAGGCTGCAGGAGGGGAAGGATCTTTACCGCCACCCTCTAGTAGGGTTGCCAGACAAAACAGGTGAACTTCAGGTCCTCAGGAACCCTCGCTCACCTGGGTGCATCTATGCGTGGACGTACTTACACTTGGGATGTCTACGGAATATTTGTTACTTACCTGAAATTCAGATTTACCTGGGCAACACCATCCACCTCTGCTGCCCTATGCACAGGGTTCCCTTCCTGGCTGTGGGGCAAATGACTGAGAAGGTGACAGGTGGCACGGGAGCCCAGGACATCCTGGGGCCTTCAGGAAGTGGGACTTATTCCTGGGCATTTTGTAGAACCCTGGCCTCTCTGCCAGGGTCCAGGAAGCCCTGGTCATGGGACACCTGGCAGGCCAGCTAGAGTGAGGGCCAGGCCAGGCTGGCTGGGGTCTCTCGTGGGAAGAGGGAGGTGCCTGGTGCTGATGACCGTGAGGGAGACAGCAGGTGCACATGGGGCCTGTGAGGGTCCATAGGACGTGAGAAGAGGAAAAGCAGAGTCCTGGGCTGGGAGGGCCCTGGAGCCCATCCACATGGCCCCCCTTGAGTGGTCTCCCAGCCCCCACCACCACTCTGGCTCCCTGGGCCTGATCTGCCCCCAAAGCACCCTAAAATGGGATGGGGGCCAAGGACTGCAGTCACTGCCACTGGCCTTGGGTATCGATGCCTGTTGGTGCCCAGGTCAGGAAGGGCTAGGCTGCCAGGGCACAAGCATGAGGCTGAGCCTGGGTGGGGGACACGTGGGCTCACAGGCCGGGCCTCAGGCCTGCCCTCAGTGTGGACACAGGAAGCCACGACTAGGGCTTGGTCCCAGCCTGGGAAGGCACCTTGGCCAGGGAGGGAGGCTGCCCTGGGTCAGAGGAAAGAAACGGTCCTTCCCGACAGGGGCTCAGGAAGTGGTCCAGGACGGAGGGACCCCCAGGGGTGAGAGGCTCTGTTCTTGTCCCTGAGGCACCTTCAGGTGTGGCTTTGTGAGTGTGAGGCCGGGGGTAGAGGGTCTCGGACTGAGCTGTGGGGGAGGAAGGGAGGGCGCAGGAAGGACAGGATGGGGGCCAGGGAACCCTGCCCACTGAGGCACGACAGGGCACCCCAGAGCGTGACCCTCCACTTACTTCCTGTTTGTTCTCATTTTCGGAGCCAGCACCTCCAAGACCTTCTGCTTGGTGGCCTCTGGCTGTCAGTTCCCCAGGTCAGCCCTAAGTCTCCTCCAGGGCTGGCCATCTCTCCTGGGGTTTGGCGGGCACCCCTCCTGGGCCTTGCCAGTGCAGCCTGCTGCGCTGGGCCCCTGTTCTTTGCCCTTGGTGGACCTGCCCTGGTCACGTCCATGGCCCAGCCCAGCCACATCAGGAGGATCCAGGGCCCTGCTTCCTGCCTCCTGCCAGGGAGCCATGCCTCCCCAGACAGGTGGGGTCTTTCTCCAGAGGCCTGCCAGACCCTTGGGGTTGAGGCAGAGCCAGCAGCCCTCCTGCTGCCCTGGCCACCATCAGGTGGAGGCCCCTGGGCACCCAGCACTTCTAGGAACTTGGCTTATGAACGGGCATCTGTGGGGAAGAAACATGGCCAGTGGCCAGCCCCAAACAAGGCAGAGCAGGACAGGGCAGGCTGAGCGGCAGCAGCCAGGCCAGGTGGCCACCCTTCCTGTTCCCACTGGCTGCACCCAGGGCCTGGATCAGGGCCTGGCTGCCTGTGGGAGGGCCACCCCACCCTGGCCAGGACTCCCATCCCAGGTGCTGGACTGAGGGACTTGGGCCAGTCTGTAGGGGTCTCCAACCTGCCCCAACCCAGGAAATGAGTGTTGCAGGGGCATAGGTGGGTCCCTGTGTGTTCTAGCCTGCCCGTGGACGCGCATGCACGCGGGAGACTGCCTCAGACACAGGGAGCCGTGTGTGTGCGCCAGGTCCTCCCAGCACACCCCCCCCACACAGGTCACCCTCCCGGCTCCTGGTCCTCAGGCGGGACTTGGCTCACTCCAAGGGTGGAAGCAGAGGTCTCAGCTGGGTGACCCTCAGCGTCCAGCATGTTCTGGGCACATGTGCAGATGTCACAACAGGGGTGTCCTGGTCTGGAGTGGAGGCCAGGGATGCTACTCAGTGCCCTGCAGTGCCCAGGACACCATCCACAGTGCCAGGGGGACTGGGCAGAAGGAACCTCGGGCCAGGGGTCTGCATTTCCTCAGTTTTATTACCCACAGAGTAAGACTTCTAAAGGGACCCACCTGCTGGGCTGCAGCAGACGCACACACACACACTACCATGATGCGCAGGACAGGGCCTGGCTCTGGTTTGGGGAGCAGGCCCGTCCACTCGGGCTCCCACACTAGACCCACACCTGGCTGGACTAGAGCCAAGGTGCTAGGCAAGACCTCAATCCAGGGCTGCTCCCTGTGGCTGCATGAGGGACAAATTCACTTGGGTCTCACTTGAGGGAGGACACAGCTAACCCCCAACCAAGAACACACATCCCAGTCACCCCAGGAAATGCTTCAGCTGACTGCCATGAGCTGAGTTGTGTCCCCAGGAAAACCTGTGTGTGTCCTGAGTCTTGCTGCACCTGCGAGGGGGACTTCATTTGGAAACAGGGCCTTTGCAGGTGTGAGGAGTAGAGGTGAAGCCCTGAGGGCGGTTCTGTCCAAGGTGGGTGCTGACGCATGACAGCTGTCCTTAGAAGAGGCACACTGGGACAAGGAGAGATGCCCCAGGAAGACGGGCGGGGGCTGGAGCCATGCAGGCACCAGCCAGGGCTGTCCGAGCCCCAGGGGTTGGGAGAGGCAGAAAGGGTCCTCCCTTGGCCACTGGTGGGACCGCGGCCCTGTGCCCCCCTGGGTCTCAGACCTCTGGGCTCCCGAGCACAGCAGCGTCCATTCCTACTGCTGGGATCACCCAGCTCGCGGTCATTTGCTACTTGAGTCTTTGGGAGCCCATACACCTCCTGGGCTGGGCCAAAGCTGTGCCAGGTGAGGGACAAACATTCATGGGGAGTGGCCTTTCCTCCCACCGGTTGGTGGTGTGTGGGAGAGGTGCAGAGTCCAGCCTGACCTCTCATTCTGGGGTCTTCTGATGTTCCCAGTGTTCCTCATTCACAAGCCAGCCAGCCATCCCACACACCTACACAACCCAGGTGCACGCTCACACATGCGCACACTACAGCCAGCATTCCTATGTTGGGGTCCTGGACATGCAGGGGACAGATCTAAGCTCTTCTGGAACTGACACTGGAGGGGGGGGCAGGGGCCCATCCATTCCTGTCCACACACAAAAGCACAGTCATGTGAAAGCAAAGCCTGACCCTTACACACAGAGAAGTCCCTGACCTGGACCCAGGGGTGGGAGGGGACAGCCAGGCAAGGGGGATGTGGGGAGGAGGAGGGGTTGAGGTCTCTCCTGGGCAGGTGACCTAGCAGCCCTACACAGACACACAGACGCACAGAGACACAGACGCACACACAGACACACAGATGCACACAGGCGCTCTCTCTCTCTCTCTTGCACACACACACACACACAC